CCCAGGCTGCTCAGGGCAGTGGTGGAGTCCCCAACCCTGGAGGGGTTTAAAACTCGTGCAGATGTGGTGCTGAGGGACACGGGTTAGCAGTGGACTTGGCTGAGTTAGTTAATGGTTGGACTTGATGGCCTTAAAAGTCTTTTCCAACCTAAATGACTCTATGACTCTGTTTTGTACTGCTGTTTGCTGCATCAGCATCACATCATGGCCTAAAATGTCACATTGATTCCAGCAGCACAGGTTAAAAACCAGCACTTGAACCCACTGCCCTTTCCAGAAACTTGCACCTCACCCTGTATGAATGCTGGACTAAAATTAGAACTGTGAAGGCTGCTGCAAAGTAGATGTAAGGCAGTAGTTGAAAGCTGTAACTCAAGCAATGGAAGAAGTGATAGATTTTAAACTCTTGCCCTTTTATTCATGCCAGTTTTCCACTTGGGGTATTATTATACAGCTATCTAACACCATTGCTTCCAACAGCTTAAGCCTCTGTAACTCCAGGGATACTTTTGCTCATATAACAGTTCCCAGCAAGTTGACTCCCAGGAGGCAGGTTTCAGAAGCCTCTGAGGTGCAGGATGGGAGGGGAAGGGCTGGAAAACGGGAGGTATTTATTGTTTTTTTTTATCCAAAGAACATTCCACAGAAGGGAAAATTGACTCATGATTTCAGCCTTGGTACTTTAAAGTGAAATACAGAGCAGTATTACAAACTAATCTTCAAATACATTGTTTGAAACATTACTATAGGAACAGGAGGCAATGACTTTGAGAACTTTTAGTATTTCAGTTTCTTTAAAGGAGAGGCAGTTATCTCTTCTATAACATTACATGCATCCTTTTCAGAAATGATGTCAGTTTTTATACAGTGAGGGGGGGAGAAAGACACTGGACTCTTCCCTTCTTCCTGAGCTGTGAGGACTCACTTTGATAGAATAAGATCCCACTCCAGTGACACAGTTATTGGCCTAGCAAGCAGTACAGATGGTGAATATTTTTTTCTCTTCAGCATCGTTCACACTAAAATCACTCTTTAGTAGCAGGCTGGAAAATCCACACACTGCCAGATACTTAAGAGCCAATGACCAATGAAAGAAAACTAATAGTACTTAACAGCTGATGCTTTTATGAGCAGACTGTCCCACCTTCAGCTTCAGATGATCCTTTTGCATTTAAATGTGTACTGTGGTTCTGATGTAGAACTCACTGTCGGGATTTTTGGCCTCGCATTGCTGACTTATCAATGGAACAGATGAAGGGACCTCAGAAAGCAAAACACAACCAATAACCAAAACAATAGCAACTGTTGAACAGGAAATAACTGCAGGTGCTGGAGTTCTGATGGACAACAGATGTCACACAACAAACCTGCTCCTCCAAAATAGCTCCAGGAAGATGCTGCTACATCTTTGTCTGAAATCTGCTTCTCAGCCCAACACCTCGAACACCTTAGAACAGCTCCTGTGAATATCTTGATTTTAAGATTAGCAAGAAGAGAAAACCAGCTGTGCCCCTCTCCCTTAGGCTGAGGGCAGATGTACCTACCTGTGGTGTCTGTGTTGGATGCAGGCAGCTGGAGGCCTGGGGAAACAACTCAAGTGTCAGCGAAGTGTTCACAGCCGTGGTTCTTCCTCATAAGCCACTTCATGTCACTGAACCAATTCTCATACATTTTTTGGGGGCTACAAGTGGAAGAAACCTCATTATTCTTTGAGTTCAGCTGTTAAGAATATAGGATTAGATTGTATTTCCATCTGCAATAAAGCAGGAGCCTTAGCTCTTCCTGACCTGTTGCCAGGTGGATGTAGTTAATTGCCCTCATAGATCCTTCTGTTTCAAAATAAAAATATCTTTCAAAAACCAATGCATTTTGAGCTCTTTCATTTGAACTGACCCAATTTCCTAAAACTTGAAGAGTTTAACATAACAAAGAGAAAGGCTTCTCCTTCTCTGTTCCTCCCAGCAAAGAGTGGCTGGTACATATTTATATTAGCAGCTAAATTTCACCTTGAAAGATGAATTCTAATAGGAGAATGAAGCCATCTTCTGACCACTGTTAAAAACAGAGGTAGTGCATCCTGTAGAAATCTGTATGGTGAAAATGTTGTGCCAATACAGTATGTGTGTATGTACACCCTAAGGCTCTGTCATAAATATAAGCCTAACAAAATACATGTGCTACACAAAAAAGAAAAATCAATGTGTGAGTAGTTTGCTCAGGCTGATACACTGATACAGGTCTGATATTCTAAATTGTAGATAGCTACTTTTTAATAAGCTTTCCACACAGGGTGCTAAATAAATACATATCTATATATCTGTATCTGCACTGTGTAATCCCTAATGTTCACATTCCAGTTCTAAAATTTGCACAACAAACCTCAGATGGAATTTGTAATAAAATTTTCATCATTCCTTAAAAATGGGTGTTTTGGAAAAGAAGCATCAGTCAGGTTCTTCCTGCAATAATGCCATGCTAAGGGAAGATATGGCCTAATTAATCCAAAAGATGATATATACTTGGCTCCAAGTGTATAGTTGCCTGCAACCTCTGTTGCTTTTCCAGCCTGAAATCACCTCTGGATGTTCAGTTGCTCCATACCCGTAATAAACTTCTCAGCATTTCTGAAAACCACAAACTTTAATTTTCAGACCTTCTATATGAAGTACCACAAAGACCATACATATGTCCAGTTGTGCAGAATATTTACCATAACTACTGCTCCAAAAGGAAAAATCAACAATCACTCTGCAGTTATTTCCTCATGCTGGCCAGGATGAAGCTGCTTGTTCAAAGTCTCTCCCTAAATCTTTCCAATCCTTCCTTAGTCCTTAGCTCATCAGCTGAGAATAAGAAAGTATAATCAAATAATCTTCAAGTTTCTTTACACTTCTACAGTGTCTCCTACTGCACATTTGTCAAGCTATCCAGAAAAGGTGCAAAACAACCCCCAAAACAACGTATATTTTGGGTGCCATCATATGGCCCCTGGTAAATGCACCAAAATGTCAGCACCACAGTTCAAGGGAAACTCAACTTATCCATAATGGTTTTGGCCACTGAAAAATTGCTGGACACATCTTCCTTGAAAGGGGAAGATAGGATTTTTCTTAAACTCACCTCTGATCAAAACCAATTTGAACTTGTTGATGTATAAGAAAACTGTTGAATAAATAGGGGGCCTTTCTGGAACTACTCTTAAGCACATAGTGAAGGCAATGTGGCCTAGGGGAGTTGGCACTGCTAACGTGGCATCACTGCCACTGATGACCAGCTGCTACATAAAAATGTCTTCTGCTCTCAAGGGAACAGAAGACAGTGAACGTATCCTCCCCTTTAACTACCAGTGTGGCAAACTCTACCACGAACAAAAGTCAGGTCAAGATCTTCTCTGCTTGGAAGTTACGTAGAATAGATTCCCATTTAACAGCTTACCAGCTTAGGGGATGGGAATTCTTTCTAATAATGAATATGAAAAAAAGTGTACCCAAATAAATAATTTCATTCCAGGAGAAAGGCTAATTGGACACTTACAGCTTTCTTTACTTCTGTTTTCATACATGAGCAGGAACTCTACAACTTTCAATTTCTCTGTCTAATTCTGTTCTTGAAAACTGGACTGGAATTTCACCAGACACATAATTGATCAGAAACTACAAAACAGCATGAAATTGAGTAGAGATGGTCCTTCTTCTGTGGTGATACTGGTACCAAAGAAGGCTGTTAAGTGAAGGAAGGTGCATGCTGAAATACACAAGACATGATATATTGAGAAAATTAATTTTATTGTTTTACAGGTCACACCTCTTTATTAAAAAAGCTCTTTATGAACTTTAAAAGTTACCAGAGCCAAAGTATAAAGAATATTTGGAACCTTCTCAACTGTTCCCTAATAACAATCTCTCTTATTCTTCCCTCTGTAGAATCATAGAGTGGTTTGGCTTGGAAAGGACCTTTCAAGGCCATCTCGTCCCACTCCCCTGCAGGGAGCAGGGACATCTGGAACTAGAGCAGGTTGCTCAGAGCCCCGGCCAACCTCACCTGGAATGGTCCCAGGGATGGGGCAGCAACCACCCCTCTGGGCAACCCAGGCCAGGGGCTCACCACCCTCAGTGCAAAAAAATTCTTCCTTCTATCTAATCTAAACCTCTCCTCTCTTTGTTTAAAACCATCACCCCTTGTCCTGTAGCAAAAGACTCTGCTAAACAGACTGTCCTCATCTTTCTGATAGATCCCCTTTAAGCACTGGAAGGCCACCAGAAGGTCTCCCAAGAGCCTTCCCTTCTCCAGGCTGAACAGCCCCAGGTCTCTCAGCCTTTCCTCGTAGCAGAGGGGTTCCTCAGCTACAAACCCTTCCCTCTTGTTCATCATATTTTAGCAGACAAAAGTGCCACTGTAATGCTACATACCTGCTGCACTGAGACATCCTGATTTTTCAACATTACTGCGAGGCTTCTCCATGCTCCAGCAAAGCAAGGAGTCAGTGGGTTTGAAAAAGGAAACTACCAAGAGGCTTTATGTGAGAGTTTTTGAAGGTGAAAAAGACAGGTATTATTGAAATTAAATTGTAGATTACCGTTTTAATGATATGCTTGACAAAAAAAAAAAACTACCTTCATTCAGCAGTTCTTTTCATGTACTTTGGTACTGAACTATCTATGTTCTGTCAAAGAAGCACAGCTCCTTTTCAAAGACAGTTTATAGTGTTTTATTATCAATAGCAGAATGGTATGGCTCAGGTATTTTCCATTCAAGCTACCACTGAGTTGTAACTGATTGAGAGAATTTTACTTGCCCTTTAATATACACCTACAACCCATTTGCACATAATGCATGCCTAGAACTTGCAGGGACTCCACCAGATGTGGACTGGCAATGCAAGCCAGAAAACAGATAATCTACATCATTCTGCATCGTACCGCGCTGCACCGATTTGTTTCACAAGCCACATCCTCATTTCAACACCGACAGGGCGGAGGTGAAAACGCCTCTTCCTGTAACTAAAGCTTGCTGTTCTGCTGGAACTGAGCCACCAGGGCCAGGACCTGCTGGGAGGCCCTGATGTGCTGGGAGCCCAGGTAGGCGGCGCTGTTGGCGGCGGCGTGGGGCAGGAAGTAGCGGTAGTTGACCATCATGCCGCAGGCGGCGGCCAGGCCCCGCGGGCTGCTGTCCCCCAGCCAGTTGATGCGCCACAGCACCGCCCCGTTCTGCAGGTGGAAGTTGGCCACGGGGTTCAGGGCGTAGCCACGGTGCTTCTCCCCGTACAAATACCAGGCGCAGAGCCTCAGCAGTGGGGAACGCAGCACGTGGACCAGTTTTTCTGATCTCACCCACTCGTTGTTGTTTAAGAGTTTCTTTAGCGTTTCAGTAGTAGGGTCCCCTGTGATCTCGGAGATTTGTTGCCGTTCTGACTCTGTGAAAAGTTCATTTTTTTCCAGTTCTTTTGTCTGTGAGGAGAGGAGACCAACAAGCCACTTTGTGAATCCCGGGATAGGTGAAAGAGTAGAAAAAGTTTCTATCTGAGGAAGTTCTTTCTGCAGACAAAAGGAGAGAAAAAAACCCTCATGAGTTTTGTCACGACTGACAATGAGAAGTTTGCATGGAAGAACAGCTGATACCCTTTACCTGATGTCAAGTGAAGACTAGGCATTCTGAGAATTAACTGATACACACTGACACACTAAAAAAAATGAATAATTTAATAAAAATCATCCTGCCAGGAGTAAGTTAGTGACTAGAAAGCCGGTGGAGCACTAAGAAAATTTTAACACTGACTGAACTACAGTGTACACACACAATCTATATAAAA